AATTCCCTCTCTTGTACGCACTCATTGGCTATCTGTATGTTCACATTTTTTGCATTTTTTTCCAAAGAGTTTTTTAGTAGGTATATAATATGACTGCAAAGGGAACAAACTAACAGTTCAATGTATAACTCCTAACAGTTATATCCCACTTCTTATTTATAAAAAAAGATTTTTTTTTTTAAATTTGACAAAAATAACTTCACTATGAGTTCACCAATAATTGTCTGTAAGTCTACATTCGACATCCGGGCTTTTAACAAGAAAAGTATTACAGTTGGATTACTAATTAACAAGCAGATTTCAATTATTTTATTATTGGAATGTAAACTTACAAAGAAAATTATCACATTAAGTACAGAAGAATTATTTACACTGATGTCTGAACCTAATTACAGTTCGATTATTAATAATTTAAATACTAGGGTGAGGCGTGTAAAAATCACCGATTCCTTTTCATATTCAACCAATGTTAAACAGAGTTTAATTACCCTACATCTAAATGAGGAATACATTACCTTGTCACATGTAGATTTGTACCGACTTCGTCAATTACAGAATTTGATAGATTTGTACGTGGTAGACAAGCAAAAACGTTTAGCAAATTATCAAAATACTTTCAACACTGCATATGACCTAATTAAAAATGATGTCCGTGGTCTGCCGTCCACCTGTCAGAGGAACGAATTTACCAACCAATATATTCAAAACTATGATTTTAATTATTATAATCACCTACAGAACGATGACACATCATTTTTATATGAAATATTACAATTCCATTTTAACACATTGTCCGATATGATTTTGCAAGATCTAATATTATAAAAAAATATTTACATAATATGTATAATTATTGTTTTTTTTAATAAAACTTTTTTTTCAATAATAAACTTGCTTTTTATTTTAATTACATCTCACCTTAAATCATAAAGAATAGTTTTAATAAGTTTTAGTTTTAATATTATGTTTTAAAAGTAGATTAAATTTGTTAGTATTTCAAATTACTGTAATAATCTTGGCTGCTTGGTACCTATTATCGTAGTACTGACAGTAGATAAGTGGCTAGGTACCAAGTTATTATAGATGCAGGTCGCAGACACTTTATTTGATGCTGTAGTCGTGGTAGATAAATGAATGATAAGACAGATGTAATATATTGTGAATTTTTATTATAATGTTCGATAATTTCCTAAGTTCAAGATAATGTTATACAAAGTGGCGTGAAGGTGCTTGCACTAGTGGATGGTAGTACACGTCTGAATACAGGCCGATTCGGGCTCCCTTATATATGAGGTTCCCCGTACCCCTTGCCTACATATACGATATCTCGGTTCTCACGGATGTGATTTGTGTGCTCATCATCCCAGCCCACGCATCTACGATTGACTGTGTTATCAACTATGACTTATTATTAAAATAATTATTCTACTCTTGTTTTTTTTATTTGAATTTCGTCGTATGTATTCGGTGTCTTCCCCATGATTATTATAAAATAATCATTTCATTCTTTTAATTTTGGATCTCGTTGTGTATGTTCAGTATTTCTGTGGAATATTACAACGCCTATTTTTGAACCCTAATTTTCTTATTCCCTGGTTATTCCGGTCCATCGTAAACTATAATATAATAACTATGTACCTCTGAAATTGGTATTTGTTTCTGTCCAAGGTTACTGCGCCTATTTCTGAACCCTAATTTTCTTACTACCCAGTTATGCCGGTCTATCGTATATTATAATAATAACTATGTATGTACTCATGAAATTGGTGTTACTCCGTAGTAACTGGCTTACTACATTACTATAATTTTTAAATTTTTTTTCAACCAACCATAGTTTATAGGTTTATGTTTTCCAAGACCTTTAAGTTTTGAATAAATAAAAACATACATGCATAATAATATTTTGTTTATTAAATGAAACTCATTATTTAAATAATAATGAAACAGTCTTCTTGCTTTTAACACGTTGACGGACACTCAGAAATACCATTTTGTTCTACAGCCATACTTTAAAATGTCACTTTTTCATTACTGCTATAGCAGTGAAATTAATATTACTGTTATAGCAGTAATGCCTTTATACGCCTAAATTTTGATGTACATATGCCAAAATCATTTAATTACTGCTATAGCAGTATTGTAATTTTTTATTAATTTTTTCGATTTTTGCCCTTTATTTTTATCAAAACATGTCAAAATAAATCTTTAATTTAATTACATTAGTACTTTGTTGATATGATAAATAATAAAATGATACATTTTTTCGATTTTTGCCCTTTATTTTTATCAAAACATGTCAAAATAAATCTTAATTTAATTACATTAGTACTTTGTTAATATCGAGGTTAATATGATAAATAAACATTAAATATACATTACACTCTGGTTCAGTAGTTCTAAAAACAAAAATTTAAAAATTTAAATATTAGATTATTATTTCGAGGAATGGTACATTTCAAAACATTTTCCTGGACATAATGGAACAACACATTGTTTACATTGCAGATATGTTTGTCTTCTGCGTTTGATGTTCAAGCTGTAACAATATAGACAATTTTTATAATATTTTTTTCTTTTGTAACCCGGTGGAATTGGTATATTCTCTTGAAAATGAGAACTGTCAGCAACGTTTGTAGGTTTTTTTCTTCCTTTTTTATTTTTATTTGCTGTACAAATTTCATAACTTGTAATATTTGGAGGCAGCGAAATTAAATCCTTGATTATCATGTCCCTAAAATCCTTGAAATTTGTATTTTCATCATTAAATTTTTTTTTGTATATATAATAAGTGTTCCATACAGCAAGGTCTAATAAATGAAGTATAACTTTCTTATACCATTTACATGTTTTTCTGGGTGAACTGTAATAGCTAACCATTTGGTCACATCTATCAACTCCACTCATTTTTTCATTATAGTTTACAATTTCTATAGGTTTTAACTTTTGTTGCCCATATTTATTGGTTGATGTGACGATTTGTGGATGATATTTGGTAGTGATAATTGTGACGTCACGTTTGTCTTTCCATTTTGAAATGTAAATTTCATTTTTTCTCTGCCATACGTGATCACCCTTTTTCAATTTCTTTTTAGTGACCTCTTCAGGATTTCCTTTCCTATTGCTTCTCAGAGTTCCCGTACTATGTGTTTTTTTTTTTAATAATAATTCGGAAAGAGTAGTGCTGTTATAATAATTGTCCATGAATAAACTGTGGCCTTTGCATAAATATGGATCCATAAGCCTAAGGACTAGGCTATCTGTTTTAGAATTTGTTGACGGCAATAAATAATTATTTTTACCCTTATAAACTTCAATATTTAACACGTATCCATTAGGATCACATAGTTCAAAAAACTTTATCCCATATTTTGCCTTCTTGCCCTTTATATATTGCCTAAAGCTTAATCTTCCGCGATGTAACAGTAGTGACTCGTCTAAAGATAAATCTTCTCCCGGGTAAAATGCTTTTTGAAAATTTGCAATTAGTATTTTGAACAGTGGATTTAATTTGCTCATTGGGCCACTATCTGTGGATAGACCTGAATATTCAACGCTGAAGTACGCGAGAAGCTGTTCAAAACGTCGCCCTGACATGGTGTATTTTATTATAGGGTGATAATATAATGGATTATTTGAGAAAATATCCCGCAATGATGGAAATTTTAATGAACCCATAAGCATACACATTCCAAGAAATTTTTTTATTTCTTCTGGGTCAGTTTCAGTAAATTTAGATTTACGAGAATATTTTCCATGAGGTCGATTTTTATTTTTTTGGTTTAATCCGTATGCATTTGTAGATTTCACGATAATGTCAATAACTTCTTTAGTCCAAATTTGATTAAATATTTCAATTGGGGAATGACGAGCAGTTTCTTCAATATTTAATTTGATTCCACTAGTTGTAGTATCAAAATTAAAATCAGGTATAGGTATATAGTCATCCTTCCATAATGTATCAGTTGAATTAGAATTAGAATTATTATAATCACTATCATCGCTAGATGTGTTGTCAAAAGAATTTTCATCGTTAGAATAATCAATTTGATTTTGTAACGTACCTGTCGAAGGGCCAGGAGTATACAAATTATCTAAAGTTGAGCTTGGACTTGAACTTGGATTTGTGTTTCGATGACCTCCTGGTAGAAAAGTTGGGTCATTGTCAGTATCATCCGTAAAAAAAGAACTGTCAGAATTAAAGTCGGTGTCTGACAAAAATTGGTTTATTCGATTTTCTTCACGATCAGTCATTTTAATTTTTATATAGGACACGAATAGTATAATAAACACGAAGCTATTACGAACTATTACGCCGAACAAGCCGAATGTAACTGATAAACATTGCCACGCGCCCATAAAGAGAAACGTTGTTGTTGACATTTGATAAATATTATTGGAATTACCTATGTGAACTTATAAATAAAAATTCAATTTAATTCGACAGTGCCCAAATGCGCAATATGCTTAATGTTGGCAACACAACTTCCTGTTTCATAAGAAACCATTGGAAATATTACTGCTATTACAGTAATGCCACATTTAAGAAGGTTTTTAGAATACTGCTATAGCAGTAATATTTTAAACTGCCATTATAGACACAAATTGACGATTACTGCTATAGCAGTAAAATTGATCGAGTGTCCGTCAACGTGTTAATAGTCTGACGCTTCGGATCGGTTAGTAATTTGTCAAATATGGTTTGTATTGTCTCATTAAGACCAGTATGAAGCGTTTGATCTTTTGATTCATCGCTCGTATACAATCTGACAGTAGCTTCACTGAACTTCCATCTACAAATTATTTTATTTTAAAAACAAAAGAAGTAAATAAAATCAGTGAAAAAAAACAGATTAATCAATATTTTAAATTTAAACCAATGCATTTACCTGTCTTTTACTGGTACATTCTCAATGTTAGCAACCTTATAGTGACTAATTACCCAAAGGTCCTTGCCTTTTTCTTCAAAAGGTGTTTTTATTGTAACTATTCCATCCCCTTGTCTAAAATGTCAGCGAATTAATTAACTCGACATCAAATTCTTCTGATCTCAAACGTTCGGTAACATTATCTCTGTATGATGCACTCTATAAAAAAAATTTAAATTATTTATGCTATCATTATAAAAATATTATTTATATTACCAATTTATTCTGCTTTTTTTTCATAGGTTTTTTTGCACTTGTTTTTTCTACAGCACGTTTTAGACCAGGTTTTGTTTTTGAAAAAGACGGTCTCATATCAATTGATTCGCTGAAATGTTCATTCTATGAAACATAAAACATAGTATATTAATTTTTTACTGTTTTTTTCATTATATATTTTGTAAGAATTATAACCAAAGCGTTGAGTAATGTATCCAATATGTTTTTAGTTACTATATAGTTTTTTAAACTATGTCATAATCAGACATTTAATATTATTTTAAGAATTATAACCATAGCGTTGAGTAGTGTTATGACTGGTCTCCAATTAGCTTTGGCTATAAGATATTTACTAAGTAGTTACTAACCTCTGAATCAGTTGAAGCAATTGTACGGTACGACATCTTTTTTGGTAGTATCTCTGTTGAACTGAGCTGCTTGTCCTGGGATGAAATCTTGAAGACTGGTGAATATTAGTGAATTCCCTGTATCTTTTATACACAGATTTTGCCACTACTTCAATAATTTAAAATACAAATATCCACAGCAATGACCTTACCTTACAGAAACCGGTCGAAACATGTACATAGAGGTACAACAGCAAATTACATAATATGAATTTAAATTGTTGCTAACATAAATTGCTTTCATATTATAATTACACTATATGAATGTAAATTATTACAAACAGGATTTAAAATAATTTACATTCATGCCAATGCCATTCTAATATGAAAACAGGATATGTAATATATTAAAATGTTTAAATTCATTCTAAAAATGTTTCTGATGTGAACAGAGAGGGGCTATTTTCGGGTATAAAACACAGAATTTCTTAGCTTATCGTCATCAGTTCAAGCAACAGCAGTCCACAGCAGTTCCAAGAGCAGTCAGCAGAACAGCATTCTTCGCCAACCAATAGTCAGCCAGCAGATTATCAGACCTCTTCAACAAGCCATCATACTTAGAAAAAAATACTTAAATTTCCACAAGCTATGTAAGTACTATTTTTATATTGTTATTTATTAAATTTAACATCTAAACTTCTTTTTTAAAATAAAAAAAAATATTTAAAAAAAAATAGAATAATAACAATGTATCGTTGTAATATAGCTTTATAATATTACTATGATCGTTATATCATGTAGGTATGACTTTAGATAGAAATTCTATCTAAAACCGTGCTCACAAACTTAAAGATATTTCATCAGATCAGATTAGATCATATTATAGGCTAGAAACCTATACAGGTAATTTTATTTCATTGATTTTAGGAGTAGACATTTTAGATTTATGTTAATGTGTTTTTTGAATTATTATCTACCTATGTAAAGGTAGGTATCTATTTATTTATTTGTATTCGCTTAGTTTGCTTTATTCTTCTGACAAAAAGTGTTGGTATGAAGACCATAATTTTAAATAAAGATTATACAAATCAAATATTTATTTGATATATTATTTATTGATTTTTTATTTTTATCTAGTTCCTACTTATTGATTATAACATTATAATAGCTGATTATTGATAAGAGGATAAGATTATAATTTAAATAATTATATTTTGATAAGAAGATAATAGGTAACTGATATTATGCGCGCGAATTTAAATTAAACCAATCAGGAAAGCCCGGTTGTGAAACAATGTAGGGTATGTTAAAATGCTTCCCGGTCGGTGGCAGCAGCTGCGCGACGGTGGCGGGGACAGCGTCGGGGTACAGAGTTGACGGCGGCGTTTTGGATGGTTCAGTGGTGGGAATACGCGAGAACGGAGGAATTTTGGTCGCCGCCCAGTAGCGTTCTACCGGCGGCCGGACTATAGAATCACAGAATAAGACAATCAGAATGGACACTGATTATAAAATATACGGGGAACATAATTACTAAATCAATGCCGCCATGTTTTTGGAGGACAAATCAGTGTGACCTCCAATGAGAAAAAAAACTATGTTGCATCATTACATAATAATTTTATAACACAGAATAAGACAATGATGCTAATTTTGTTTAATTTTATTACTTTATTCTGTGATTAGTGTATATTGCACATAAAAAAAATAGAGCAGGTATTAAAACAATTTATTGAAACTCAATATATCATGAAACAGTTTATTTTACACATCATACAAATTACAAATAAAAAAAAAATAGAAGGTACCTATAAAAATTAATAATTTAAGAGGATGTGACACCCGCATGTGTTGTCTCCGTCTTATAAATGGGTAACATAGTAAAATTAACTATGTTACACACTTGTAAGATGGAGACAACACATAAAGGTATCATGTCCTCTTTATCAAAATTATAGGTGAGAAAGGATATCTAGTTACCTGTGCTTTCTAGGTGCTGATAGTAAATCTTTACTAATTTTTTTGATCGCATGAAAAATTCTTAAATGGAGGTAAAGGTAGTTAAGAAAATCAAGTTTAAAATTAGAACAAGGATGAGTAAATGGTAAATTATTTATCAAATTTTTTAATTTCATTCCTACATTGTTTTCTATAGAAAGTGTAGGAAAATTTGTGATAAATATATTATCAAGTTCATTAATATAATTAAAAGATGATTCTGGTGATACATTTAAATTACCAAAGTTTGTGTGTTGTTCAGTTTGGTAGGCTTTCAAATGGATGAATAGAAATGATTCGTCTAAATGGTTCTGGCTTTTGCAAAAACTTAAACAAATTTCACAGGTATGTTTATCAAGACAATTTTTTAGTAAATAACCACAAACATAAGTAAGAGCATTTCTTGGTGTTAAATCTAATTCCCTGTAGTCTGTAGTTCCTACTTTCAAAGAACTATAGTTAATTGGTGACTTTTCTGGAAAAAGCACAGACGAATTATTTAATGGAAAAGTAGTATCCCCAATGTTGGTAAGAATTTCATCAAAATCTTCTAAACAGTTGGACCCTTCAGAATGTTTAAAGTAGTTTAGAAAAAATATCTTCTTGAATGCCCAAAGAAATTGAATTGGCTTCGGATTTACATTATTTCCATTTTGATTTCTGAAACTACCAAAAAGGTTCTCAAGACAATCTTGACAAAGTCTGTACGTGCATAGTGCATACAGTGGTGTTTGAACATCTTCCCAAAGTTGTAACAGTGAGTTAATTGTGATTTGCCACCCATTCAAAAATTTCATGCGTTGAGTAACATCAATTAGTTCAGTTTTTCCATCTATGATCTTCGTCTCCATAACCCGAATATTTTTAAACATTTTTAACATCTTCAATAAATGATCTCTTTGTTTCTGAGTATTCTTAAATGGACGGTTAAAATCTTTACTGCCAACTTTTGGTTTAGAATTCAATAGATCATATAATTTATCCATATCATCTATGAAATTGATGGTAGTATTTGCAGCAGGAGGTAAGGTACCGTTTATAATGCAATTACGCATACCAGCAGCCACTGTTGCACTAAACACCTGTGCTGCATAGCAGACTTTCATTTTCTGAAAAGGTCCAGGATGAATATGAGCAACACTCAACTTGGGTGCACATCGGTTTAGACCTTGGTCTGCCTTAAAAAAATCGTTGAGTTATTTTTTGTCCGTTAGGTTATTTGACAACTGTAGTTTATACTTGTTAAAATTGTTTCTCGTTGACTTAAGTAGGTGTGGAGGATCAAATACATAGTATATTTTTTTCCCATTCACAAAAAAAAGGACGTTCACTTGAGACATGCATTTTGGTCGAAAAACTATAAAAATTTGGTCCTTGATCGGTAGTGAAAACTCTAATATTAATACCAATACTCTGGAGTTTAGTGATAACAGCAACAATTGTGTTCTGTAATGTAATTCCAGTACAACTATTATTTATGAAATAATACGCAACCAGTTGTTTCAAATTATAATTTAGACTTCTAATCATAAAACATAGGACATGTTTTGCAGGTTCATATGTTTTTTGATCATATGAATTATTAAACCCAATAATACAATCTTTCGACAAATTATAAAAAAGATTAGTTTTTATGGCCATTTCATCAACACAAAGCATGAAGTCCTTTGCATCATCTTTAAGATTTTTCATCTTTAGTTCAATCGAATTGAATATAATGTCATTCAACCCAGGCATAATGTCAATTTTCTCCGTGACTCTTCGTAGAGTTCGTGAGCTAGGTAATTGCAAAATATTTTTTAAGAACCTATATGCCATGGGCCCAAAAAAATAGATAGTAAGGGCTAATTGTTTTAGTTGGTTGGAGTAACGATAGCCTTGAGGCTATCTAGAAGCCATTCTACAATAACTTTTAACAATCATTGAAAAATTAGGCGGTAAATGTGTATCACATACTTCGTAAAAATGATCTTTGGATGTCAATAGTTGTGAAAATTTGTTGGACATTAAGTTGACATTTTCCTCCATATTCTGCATTTTTTTTTAAGTTCATTCACCTTAGTTTTTAATTGTCGTTTTCTTGGTGTGTTCACAGATAACAGCTGGGTAGTTTGGGTTTGAGTAGTAGATGTTGATAAAGTAGTACACACGGAACTTGAACCAGACATTGATGATGCCGTACCTATAAATAAATTTAATTATATAATCTATAATAATATATATATATATATAAGAAATATTTAATAATAATTTAATTTATCACAATTTCTAATAAATAGGTACTAAAAACTGTGTAAGTGTATGGTTATATGGTGCCTCCTGAATGACAAATATGTGTCCCAAGTTTTATAATGTGTTTTTAGTTTGGATTGTAGAAATAACAAACATTATTCACATCATATTTTTAATTTACTAGTTACCTATTCTGTTTACTTAAGTTACCTACTTATTTGATTTCTATACTATGGACAAGTTTGTTATAAAAAAAATAATAAGATAATGGGTAAATACCTGCCTTAATATAAATTAACTAAACATGTAGGTAGGTGCATCATAATTATTTAAAGTAGGTACCAATAAAAGTGAAAATATTAATTCACAATTATCATTAAAATACCCTAAATAATTAATAACCTAACATTACATTTGCGCATTAAGTATACTTTCTATCTACATTAATATTCAAGTTAAATAATAATAACTAAAAAGTAACAAAATATAATATAAAACAAACATACAGGTTGAATTTTCTGGTATGTTTGATTTTGATGGTATGCTTGAATATCTTGGTTCATCAAGAGAAATATCATCTTCATTGGATACTTCAACGCCATCAACTAAGGGCTGGTCAATTTTTTCTTCAGTATAATCTAAAAATATAATACAATTTAATAAATTGATGAATTATAATAAATGACAATCAAACATTTTAAATGAACTCACCAAACTCTGTAGGTGTTGCTGTTGGTAATAATCTTGTCTTTTCAGGATTACAGTATGAACTAGTAACAAAATGTTTACTACATGCCCGCAGTAGCGGATCTGAAGCTTGTTTAAGGAGGGGGCGAATTTGTATCATAGATTGATAGATGCTATACTCTGTTCAGAGAAAGAGAACGCCACGGCCCGACGAAAATCGGTTAGCTCCTCACGTACCCAGCCTTTCCAAGCCATACATAGACCGCCCAATATGCATGCTCTCTCGCCAGAGTATAACAAGGACGTAACTGAAAACACATTTCCGGGGGTAGGGACTAGGGAGCTCCAAATTTGTTATAATATACTTCACATTGACATTTTGGGATAAAAGTTTTCAAAATTTAGTTTCTAAGTTCTAACAACCCCATTCTCAACAGTTTGCTGTATACATCTTTAAATTATTTGACAAAATAATTTTTAAATTATCTAAAAATAGAAAAAACCTAAAAATAAATATTTCATAAATATTTCAACATCTGATAAAAAAAAAAGAATAGAATAAACAGTTATAAAAATTCAACAGTCTTTTAATCAATATTATAAACAATTTTATTAATCATTTTATAATAGTATACTTAGTATTATAATTTATTAGAGCAACAATTTTATTGTTCTTTTTTTGCCAGCCGTAAACCTGTCAATGATTTTTTCGATGTCAATACTTATGTCTCTATGAGTATTGAGTAAAGCTAAGCCAGTATAATCTTTCCTCACCCATGCGTGACCTCATCCACGTTTTTAATCTAATAAACAAAGTAATAAGCAAAATACTATAAGCAGGAAAGCATAATATGGTTATCAGTTTGGCAGGAAAGTTATAGGAAGTAAAATTGCTAAAATATACACAAAACAATTTTAAATTTACATTAATAAAAAAAAAATGCTTTAAATTATAAATGTGGCAGTTTAAAAAAAAAAAATTTACTATAAGCTCTCATGTGATTCTCTAACCTGCGTAAAGTAGAAAAACTACGTTCAGCAGAAGCAGTACTTATTGGCAAAGCAGCAAGAATAATAAGCAGTGACTTTATTGTTGGATAAATTGTTTCACAACATTCTTCCAATGCGTGAAACACATTTTCCGGTACAGATTGACCTAAAATACTCAAATTCAATATTATGAATTTATTCGAAGTAAGATTTACTATTTATTACCTTTCAAATCGTAGCTATGCCATTTTTGTATCCATAAATCAATTTCCGACATCAATAGTACATCACTAACTTGAAGAAATGTGTAACTAGTTTTAATTTTCTGTATCATAATATTAGTGCTATTAATATTCTGAGACCATTTAGTTAAGTTTTTTGGAATAAAATATGTCAATGTTTGAATTGTCTGGTTTTCCTGGCCATAAAACCTTCGTTTTAAGTCTTCAATAATACTATCCAATAGAGGAATAAAAATTGTTATTTTATAATAATCTTCACAGTTATTGATGTTACTTGGATTTGGTCTATTTTTTTGATTAACGTCCAGTCTAGGTAATTTTATTTCTACATCTAATTGGTAAATTATAGATTTGCATTCACTATAAATATTTTTAAATACAATATCACAATCAAAACGTTTTTTTTCCAATATTTTCACTATATCTTCCACTACATTACTTGCCGATAATATATCCTGAATCTTCCCTTGTAAAATTTTACTTGCGTGATAAGTTACAGAGAGAACTGATGATAAAGAAAATATTGATATTATAAATTCACAATTGCACAATGACAATATTAATGTTTTTGCTTTAGATGCAGAGACTGTGTCTTCCCAATTCGACACCTCAGTTAAGGCATTAATAATTTCTATTAATGAACTTTTAAATTGTAGTACACTGTCATGCCTTTCCACCCACCGTGTTTCGCATAGCCTCACCAAAGAGCATTTTAAGTATTTTTTCAAAACAAAATTACGTTTAGCTGACCTTTTAAAAAATGAAATTACTTGCTTCATAATACCTACACTATTTCGAATAGATTGTACTGTTGAAGATTTTGAAATTGACAAGTTAAGTGCATGATTATTGCAAGGACAGTATACTGCATGTTTAGTGCATTTTTGAATGAATTGAACTGCTCCTTTTAAAGTTGACACCATAACTGAACAACCATCAGTAGATATTCCAATGCAGTTATCCAAATTTAATCCAACTTGAGTCATAATTTTAATAACTATTTCCCCAAGTAATTCTCCAGTTAGTTTTGGCTCTACTACAACACTTTCTTTTTGCACTTCATCATCATTATTATCCATATCATCATCATCATCTTCACTATTACCATCATCAGTAGCATCTTTTTCCTCAAAGTCATTATTATCATTATATATTTTGGTATGGCAGTCAACAAAAGCCAGAAAGCGTTCAAAACTTTTACCTGATTGTGTATACCGAACACTTAAACTCATTTGTGAAATGGCAGATATGTCTGTTGTTTCATCAAAAATAATGCTATAAAATCTTGTTACATTTATTTCATTTATTATATAAGCTGTTATTTCTTTTTGTATACATTCTATTAGTTCATTTTGTATGGTATAACTTATATAAGTTGCTTTTTCATGAGCAGATTTTAAATGTTGTTCAAGAACTGTATCACCTGATGCTATCTTAAACTCAAGAAGTTCCCTGAAATTACCCTGATTAGTAATAGATGTAGTCTTTGAACTTAGATCGGAGGAAAAAGAGTTGGAAAAAAGATTACCATCATCTCTATGGCCTCTAAGGGAAATGTTTTGACGTCCAAGGAACACAATGGATTCAATTATAGGTTTTAAACGTTGTCGATTTTCTTTAATTACCTTCATACGCTGTGTGTCAAGCATATTTACAACAGTTTTTTCTGGTTTCGAATAATTTTTTTTAAAATCAAAAGCGAATTGAACACAATTTTTGTGGTATATATTATTCTGATGTGTTTCCAGATAGCCATCTACTCCCAATAACTTAGAATATTGATCTAGCTGTTCAGTTACTAGTCTTTTTAATAGTTCAGTATTTCTCCTGCCACCTTTTTCAGAAGCCAAAAACAGTACACAAAACTTACAAAATAACCCAGATTTAGCAGTAGAATATTCAAGCCACTTATATTTTTCAAAATGGTTTTTCCTCAAATAACGTTTTTCTTCTTTGCCTTTTTTTATACGGGTAGAAAACGGATACATAAAACTATTACCTGGTACATTACAACGGTTAAGTAATGTATATTTTGTATAGTCATCTACTTGTTGACCCCATAAATTTCCGATATCTAATGTTTGACCTAAACAATAAATTTAAATTTAAAATATAAAATAAGTCATTTGTTTGCATTTTTTAGTTAACAAGTCATTTTATTTCATAATTTGACAATTGTTGGGTCATTTTTTGCAGTCATTTTCCATCATTTTTAGGTCGTTTATTCATATTCTTTTAGGTCATTTTTTAAGGTTCTTTAGGTCATCAACGTCCGAGCCTTAGTACTAATAAACTATTAATAATAAAGATCAGTAATATAAATGTAAATACTAAATTAAAATTATTGCACACCTAAACCATTGATAAAGCATATTGTATGCTTAATCAATGCCTAAACATAATGTCATAATGAGTACCTATTTAACAAACCAATATAGTGGTATCATATATTTATTTAATATATGATAATAAATAAACAACTAGGTACCTACAAATTAAATTATATTTTTTTAAATTAATCATAAAATAACAGAAATAATGCTACATTCATATGTAAAGAAATGCATACTTTTAAATTTAATTTAA